GCTTACAACGTGACAGATACTGGTTGTGTTGCAAAATGCCACAGGAGAAGATGAGTCAGGGGATTTCAAGGTATCTCGCCATCTGGGGCACTGATAGGGCCTATCTTATCAGCCTGCCTGCAGACCTCCTAGGCTATGGTCCTTATCTTGGCAGCCTGCAGTTTTGGCACTGCTGTTATCTCTAGTTCTCAGAAAGAAAACCGAGTTAAAGAGAGGGTAAATTACTTGTTCACAGTTGCACAGGACCTTTTTGGCATGCATCTTTTTTTTTTTTTTTCCTTCCCCCCAGCCCCCCAAAGCCGCATGTCCTGTGCCATTCACTCACAAATGCCTCCAGAAGCTACAGGTCGCCTTGAGAAGCCGGGTGGATTCTGTCCTGGTTTCTTCCTTATATGATTCGCGGTTTGCTCTGAGCATACAAATTTCTGAATTCCCCCTGTCGCTTGGTCTGGGATGCCGCCCTTTGGAGCTGGCGGGCTCCCACGGCTGGAGCTGGGGGCCACTGCCCTCCTGCATCCCCGCAGGGCGGCTGCACGGGAGCAAATCTTCATGAGCCCCCAGCTGCACTCCTACATCTCTGACCCCCTTCCTCTCTAGGTCCCCCTCAAGGGCACGCTAAATTTGTCTGTTTAGTCATCCCGCGATGAGCTTAGTGAGGGAGTTTCTTCAACCAGAAGAACATTGTGGGTATGTTTATATATATTGTATATATCCCCCACCTGGGCACTGTCCTGTGCCCCCTGCTCTGGGTGAGCCTGCTTGGGCAGGGGGGTGGCACTGGGTGAGCTCCCGAGGGCCCTGCCAGCCCCTGCCAGGCTGGGATTCTGGGATTCTGTGTGATTCTGTGATCTGGGGAACAGCTCCTCAATTTATTTGTATCCCATCCCTGTTTGAAGTGCAGGGCTGGGTCAGCCTCCAGACGTGAAGCTGCCTTTGCTGCCTCCTCTCTCATTTTTTGTCTCTCCCCCATCATGCGTTGCATTCCCAGGCAGTATTTGCTGCGCCAAAGGCAAGTCATGCTCAATCCTTGGGATGAGAAGTTACAGCCCTTGCCCCAGCCAGAATCCCAGAATCCCAGCCTGGCAGGGGTTGGCAGGGCCCCCTGGAGCTCA